ACGTACGTACGTACGTACGTACGTACTACGTACTACTACTACTACTACTACTACTACTACTACTACTACTACTACTACTACTACTCTACTACTCTCTCTCTCTCTCTCTCTCTCTCTCTCTCTCTCTCTCTCTCTCTCTCTCTCTCTCTCTCTCTCTCTCTCTCTCTCTCTCTCTCTCTCGAATGTTCAAATGCTCTGAAGGCCGTAGAACTCTAAACAGAGAGAGAGTCTCTCTAACTTGGAGATCAATCTGACAACAAAGTGTTCAATGTTTGCCATGTTCTTATATTTCTTAGCAAAAAGATGGAATTCGTAGAGTGTTTGGGGATCCAATCAATGGGGTTTTTGTGAGAGTTATTGGCCTTTGAATAAGGCCAAAATCACAAAAAGTAATAGGAGAAAGAGTAATGAAGGAGAAAACAGAGCACTTAAAGCAAATAATCTTCATTTATTCAATTTTTTCTGGCATATAAGCCTCTGTCTAAGCTTGAATATAGTACATGAATTGTTTGTCCAGATAGGTTCTCAGATTTTTCTCTTTAGAGTAAGCCACTACAAAGGTGGGTACCATTTTTATTCACAATAAAATTGATGCAATTGGAGAACGAAAGTAGAGAGATTTCAGTTTCAGGTCGTTCTCTACTTCTTTGCACCATGAACAGCCAAATCAACCGCTTCCATCATTGTGAGCAAAGCACCCGACACCCACAGAGCACCACCCAAGAAGTAGCTATGATTAAGAACTGTATTTGCAGCAGCAACACCAGCAGTCCTAGAGATCAGGATAGACCAAACTCTTGATGAAAGGTTTCCATGTCTCTGCAATATGATCTAGAGGCATTGAGAGAGGGAGAGAGAGAAATAAGGGCATCTAGGTTACATTGCTGAGAGAAAGAGAATAAATTGCCCAGAAGCTTTGGGGGTGAGGCCATAACGGCCATGTTTCTGGCAAGAAAGGGGAAAATCTTTTAGGCCCATCTCTGCCTCTACCACCACCTGAACATTTCCATACAAAATACAGGTTTTATAATTGATTTAAGCGAAAAGGTTGCAGAAATAATTGGGCACAAAATGGAGGAGATTTTAGAGAAGGAGAAGATGGAGGTGGAATACTTTGTGGAGGTCTCATTTGGCTCTCTCTCTCTGTTAAGGTTTTATGCTTTCACAGCTTTGACCTCCTCAGAGGAAATAGAGAGACTCTCTCTCTCTCGGTCTAGGGCTTCTAGGGCCTTAAGAGAATTTGAATACTGAGAGAGAGAGAGAGAGAGCAAGGAAATGAGCAGGAGAAAAGTACGGGGACTTGGGTAGGAAAGATTTAGGGGCGAAATTGTAAAGATAAGGGTCACTGGCTGAAGGGGTTAACCGGTGGGAGAGAAGGTTTGACCTCGAGATAAGATCCTCATCTGACAGTCGATAGCTAAAACTACGAGAAGTCTGTACTGAAAATACACAAGATCATTCCCCAGAAAATAAAAATCAAATACAACATAAAAAATTGATGGAGATTAAGAAAAGAAGCAATGAAGGCACTCATTAAAACCATCTAATATTGGGAACACCACTTGGCAATAATTAAACAAGCACTGGGCTGGAAGTACCACTATTATAGGTATTACTGAAAGGATTATATCCAAAATGCACATATTTTGGAAAAATAGTCTTAAAAAATAGTGTACTTAAATCATTGGTCTTAAAAAAGAGTACTTAAATCATTAATTAGAAAGCTATCACTTGAAAGTTTAAGCTTCGCTTGCTTGCTTCCAGTTTTTCTCACCTCCGTGACATTCATGCTTTTGCATGGGATGGGAACCCCCAGTCCTATATCTAGTCTATTTCCAGTTACGATTTTGTTGATTCATGCTTTGTCCAATTGATGCTTTACGGAACAGTAGTAATCAAAAATGAAGAAAGACCCATATCATTGTCAGGAGTTGTTTATTGTGGATCTCTTAGTTCCTTATTAGTTTCATAAACAACAATAAATATTAAGAAACTTCACAAGAGAACTTTATATTTTGCAAGAAGAAAGATCATGATCATCATCAGATCCCGGCTCCTAGGTTCCATGTTTATAATCTAGTTAGTGAAATCTCATCCAAGTGCATGAATATCAAAGGTCCGGTATGATCAATCAAGAACTACTCAAGAAGATGAAAGAATTAAATTAGATGTCTAAATTATAAATTATAAGGTGGGCTTGGTATTAGTTTTTGTAGCTTAACCTTGAGCCAAATAAGATAAACATGACCCCTATCTTAATAACAGAAGAAGAAATCTTGAAGTCATTTTTTCAAAGAATTAAGCATCCTCTACTAGTTTTCAAGCAAACTTATCACAACAAAGAGTGAACCCAATTCTAAGAAACCTTCATGGAAAACAGAAATACCTTAATTGTGCGATCAGCTGAGCCAGTACAAAACCATTCATTGCTCGGATCAAATGCAACTGACCTTACCCATCCCAAATGACCACTGAGAACCTGGAACAGAGCAAAATTCAGAGAATGAACATCACGAAAATTTAAATTACTAGAGGAATGTGCCAATTCATAAATGTTTTAAGAAGAAAAACACAAAATGCATTACCACATTACAGAGACCTATATCCCCATAATAAATCTTAATTACCCACCAAAATATATAGGTAGGCTATCGATAAATTATTAAAGCCAGAGATTGACAAGATTCTTCTGATGCAAAAGCAGATATGACTACATAATAACTTCAGCATGCAAAGAAAAGACAGTTGCAGACAATATCCTGCTGCAGAGTACTTGGGGACTCATAAATGCATCTATGATGGCTGATATTCAACACCAAGGCACCATGACCTTAAGGGGCATAAATAACAAGGTTGAATACACGCAGCCAAAGTACTCTCACTAAATCTCCAATTTTAAAAATAAGATCCCAATTTTAAAGAGAAGGAAATCAAAGGTAAATAAATGCAATCAGATAAAAAATGAGAGATTCTCTCCTTCCAAATGCCCTATAGGATGCGAGTATTCTACTAATTCAGCAGAAGGAAGATTAAAGACAACTTTCCATGTAGTCCAGCCATTCAAATCGCACCTGTTAAAACCTAAAAAATTTCAAAGATACCATTCAAATCAATTAAACAAAAGAGAAGGAGAAGACAAGGTGAATGTTTTCATCACTCAGTGTAAAAGATGCAATCAAGAATATGAAAGACTCTTTCAACCACAGCCAAATTCTAAACAAGATCCTTCAAGGAAATGCACGCACTGAATAAACTGTATGGCCAGTTCCCATATCCAGTTTCGAATTGATAGGAAGCAGTGGTTAAATCCCAGATTCTGGCTTGTATTCACCAGGTCCTGAGTCCAAGTAGGAGACTGACTTGCAGTCCAACACAATCGAGTCCCTTAAACATACAAAAAAACAGCCAGAGTTTTAGGGCTATTATCCAGACTTGGAACCCTTCCGGGTCCGAGTTACTGGGTAAGTCCAAGCCCGAGTCACCAAATTTTTTAAACAAGGAAGAGATAGAAAATAATGATGGCACAGCTCTTCAAATAACTGATACTGCCTCCACAACCAGCACTGATCACTACCAACTCAAGCCAACAATTAAGTATCATAGCCAACAACTCTTTCATATGTGTACTGCCATGGCAAATATTTATAACTAGATAATTCATAGTCTTTGGGAAAAAAATATCAGCATGACAAACACCTACTGCACAAGTAAGATAGAAAAATAAAAAAGTAATTGAAGATTACTCTGTAGTTCCTCCATGGAGGACGCCATATCGGGCGAGGCCATTTGCTTGGAAGCCTTTCAATAACAGCTGCACTAGACTGATACCTAACCAATGGGAAAAAGAAATGGTTTTACAAACTGAATGGCATAGAAGTCTTGCCCCAGCTCATCATAAATCAAATGATAAGTAAACATAAACCAAAAGAATGAAAATAAAATAAAAAAAACCTTAAGAAGTTAGAATTGATAAATATAAAAGGGAAATGGTTATATAAATTGCTTAGCATCAAATGTTTGTTTAAGCCAGCCAAAGCCCAACGGGTCAGCAAGAGTAATGAGACCTAACAAGTTGAGACCGTCAAAGAATATACTAGACATAAAGCAAACTTTCTGCTTAACAATGCAATCTCCTTAATTCAGAGCAATCCAACCACACCATACAATCGTAGCCTTGAATCTCTCCTTTAGACACAAGGAACAAAAAAACTACACAATAAGCAGCAATCACATGTGCATTTAAAAACAAATAACCATTCCAGGCAGCACAACCAATAATACACTGAAAAAGCAATAAGCAATCTGGTCAGCTTCACCCAAAATCATAAACTTCAGCCAGTAGGCAAAGCCAAGCACAATTTTTATCTATGTTTATTTTTACTTTTGTAATAGGCAAAGCAAAGCACAGCTTGAAAGTCAGTCAGCATTCCTCCTTCAACAAAGGATCTACAAAATAAGATTTTTAGAAAGGCCAATAAGAAGCATTCAGAGCAATTGTGTAATCTCCAATTTGGCCTTTTTATATCAAAGTTTTACGAGCCAGACAGTAAGGTCCATGGAGAGGCTCCAACAGACAATGACTTGGATGCAGCAAATTTCATGAAAAGCCTCAAGACAGCAGAAAACCAAGAAATATTCAAAACAGGGAAATAACAAATTATGGAAATGAATAAATAAACTAGCAAATATAATCGAATTGTAGGCTATGTTTGAAAAAATCTAGCAGTTTAACACTCAATACACCTCAATTTTATGGCCTTCCAAAATTTCTTTTTACAAAATTCAAATTTTCAAATAATGTTCACATTCATATACCAAATAATTAAACTTGTCAACTTTTCAATCCATGTAATGTTTTTTAATAAGAAGGTGATTAAACATGAAAGTTACAAATAATCAAAAAAAATTTAATACTAGTGAATATTACTACAAATTAATCTAACCAGTGGAGGAACAGGTCTGATCAGATGGGCTCACCGGTAAGACTGATCAAATTTTAAAAAAAATACAAAAAATATGAAATGGAAACATACAAAATTTATAGAAATTTCTATAACAAATAAGAAAGTTTAAAAACAAGAAGAAAATACAAAATTTATAGAAATTTCTATAACAAATAAGAAAGTTTAAAAACAAGAAGAAAATTATAAGAGCTAGATCAGATCAAAGGAGCTGTCATTTTTTGGGCAACCCAGCACAAACACTTCAGTGGCCTTTCCGATTCCAACTTCCTCCACAGTTGGAACCCCATTCTCAGATTCAACCCTCAGAGGCCCCCTCGATCCTCCCTTTGGAGACCACCCGATGATAGGCAAAATGGCGGGGTATAAAAAAATTTGGCCTGTCTAGGTTCCTTGTATAGGTCACCCGTCCGTGTGTAGCCTATTTTTTGGGGCAGAACCCATATGTGGGTATCCAGACCACCTCCTTTTCTTTGTACCTCGTTTAGTTAGTATAGAGTTAACATATTCACAAAATAAAATCGATAAACTATTTCTGAAGCCAAGCTGCAAAAGTTATAAATAAAAAATTCACATGTTAAGTATCCAGATTTTTGTGTTAAGTATCCAGATTCCACCTGAATTCCAAAACAAACACCCGTCCACACCTAAAATAAAATATTCGAATCACCACAAACCCTTAATAAATTTACAATACAGAATAGAGTAGATATGTGACCAAAAAACAGAAAAGGATCACAAACTTTATATCAATTGTTTTTTCCCACAAATCAGAAACCCCTTTTCAAAAGATCTAAATCGTCTAACATGACAAAGTCTAAACAAAAACCTTACTTTCGAGAGATATAAACTCTGAAATAAGTAGATTCAGAGATGAGACCTAATATTTGCTGGAAAAAACTTATCCAAATTATTTGGACCCAGGTAGAAAGAGGCAAATTTTTTTTTTTTTTTTGGGGAGGTTGGGGGGGCGGTTGGTGGCCTCCCTCTCTCTCTCTCTCTCTAGAGTA